GGTATGTTCCACTCCATGCATCTGATGAAGTGGGTTCCAACCCACGAAAGCTTATGCCCAATAAATGTGTTAGTCTGTAAGATGCCAGAAGTACTCCTCGTTCTTTTTGCTGATACAGTTGCATCTGATGAAGTGGGCTGTAGCTCACGAAAGCTTATGCTCTAAATTTGCTAGTCTCTAAGGTGCCACAAGTCCTCCTGTTCTTTTTGCGGATACAGACTAACACGGCTGCTACTCTGAAACCTGCTCTGAATCTTGTCTTTCTATTTTTCCTGGAACTCGGTTGGGGCGGTCTGTAGTGCCATCTGTTGGCTCAGAGGTGTCGGCACAGACATTCCTTTTCTCACTTCTGGTTACCACCGCTATATCATGCTGTCGGGCTATTGTATCTCCCCGATTATTCCGGGTGGCCTCCATTTCGGGTGACCAAACAGCAAATGGGAAAAATCAGGACGGGGGTGGGGGGTAATAGGAGCCTATATAGGAAAAAGACCCAGAAATCGGGACTGTCCCTATAAAATCGGGACATCTGGTCACCCTGCCTCCATACCTGTTCTTTTATTGTGTGCCTTTACATGTCGCACCTTTAACTCTTTAGGGTTCTGTGTTATCCACTGGTTAATCCATTTCCATTCCTCTGAATATGCAATATCCTTTCCATCTGCTGCTTTCCACCCATTCCTATACCAATCATGTATCCAAAACTGTATCCCCTTCACACAAAAATCAGTCAGCATAAATATACACGGGCCGTGGGGAATTTTCATATCGCCTTAAAACCTGATAAATTGCGTGGGGCTCGGCATGCTGAGCTGATCCGTGGTCTTAATGTCTCTGAATGACTTCCTCTTCTAAGTTAATGGCAGGGTATTTTACGCATCTTTTCCCTTTTCCTACCATTGTACTACCGTCAGTAAACCGGACGTGCTTTTCTTGGCCCACGGTATCTAATTCTTCTAATGGGGGTACCTCGCTCCAGAATGATCTCTGGGCATTCATGTCGGTTCCCTTTTTCAATATTTTGTAGTAGTGTGGCCGCCAAGGCCATGTTATTGGCCACCAAACGGCTAACAAAAGGCTGTGAAACGCAGGGCTGGGGCTGTGAGAGCCTTCGGTTTTAGCAGGGTTAAAGCAGAGCCCTGCTCTGTTCCCCATTCCCCTTTTGTCTTTTCCTTTAGCAGTTTCCACAATGGGTGAATTATTGCAGCATATTTATAAATGTGTGGTCTCAGACAATTGACTCCTCCTAGCAGTACGCTTAAAGAGTGGGCGTCACTAGGAGCTGGCATTTCTACTTGGGCTCTCACCTTGCGCTGATCTATTGGCCTTCCTTCTTGTCCAATAATTATACCCAGACCTGTGACTTGGGGCTGCACCACTTGAGCCTTATCCAAGGCTACCTTAAATCCTGTTTCCTGGATTAATGCGAACACTTTTTCCTTTAGTGGGTGAGTTTGTGCCTCAGTTTCCCCTTTTTATACATCGGGCCACCTCGGAGATCAGGACAGAGACCGCGGACTTGACTCCCGCTGTGGGAAGCCGATGTAGGGAGCGGGGACCGGGTGTGATGTCCTCGCAGCAGCCTGTGCTGGGGAGGAGCCGCACTGCAGCATCTGACCCAGGTGGAGTCTGCGAAGGGCTGACGGCTTCCTGCCCAGCTGTATCACAGCGCGATCCGGCCAAGAGGTGTCAGTGGCGTGACCCGAGGGCAGGTCACTGCCGGCAGGATGGGACGGCGTCTCCTAGCCCAGCACAGCTGGGGGAAAGCGCTGCTCATGGGCACTGCTACGTGAGAGCTCAGCGGCCGCGGGGAGTCCAGGGGCACCCCAGACTGCAGCCTAAACCCACCAATTGTGGGCAAGCGCCGTCAGCCACCGGAGACTGGGCTACACCTGCCGACGCCTCCTGGTGCTGCCCTCCGCCCCCAGCATCGCCCCTGCCTTGCTCGGGGTCAGCTCAGCTGCTGCTCTCCGGCCACGTGCTGCGCCAGAGAACAGCTCAGTCGCTCTGTGCCACACACGGGCATGTGAGGATCCCAAGCACTAGGGAGCCGCGGCTCAGTGTCTGTGCAGCTGCAGCCCATCTTGCAGGGCTGGGATTCTGGGTGGGGGGAACTCTGGGATCTGGGAGACATTCTCTGTCCAGGGGACCCTGGATCTGCCCGGGGGTGGATGGCTGCCCGGGTCTGGCCCTCACAGCCTGTCTCCTGTGCGCAGATCCCAGCTTACCCAGACCCTCCATCTCTCTGAGACCCACTGGGGTCACCGCCCCAGGGGCAGACGTCACCAGCCGGGACGTGAGGTTCTTCCTGCTCAAGGCTGGAGACCTGAACCCGCCGCGACACATGGACCCTGCTGGGGACGGGGCCGAGTTCCACATCCCCACCGTGGGCCGGCAGCACGGAGGGAGCTACGGCTGCAGCTACCGGCCCCGGTCAGAGCCCTTCGTCTCCTCGCAGCCCAGCCACCCCGTGCAGCTGGTGGTAGGGGCCCGGTGCAGCATCCCCGCTCCTAGCCCCGCACCCCCAGCTGGACCCTCAGGAGCTCGGCACTTATGGGACACTCAGATCCAGGCTTTGCGGGGGGTGTCTGCTTTGTACAAAATGAAGACGGAAGGGAGAAATCACCCAAAGAAGCTCCTCCTTAGCACTCGGGAGCGTGAACACAAATCCTCCAGGAGAGACGGCGAGAAGGAGGCTTGCTGCAGCAAGCTCCAGGGTTCTCCGAGGTTCCCCCGCCCTACCCCCCTGTACTGCATGTCTGATGTCACGGGAGCTCTGTGAGGTCACAGCTGCCTCACCCCCTTTGCCCAATAGGCTGCGTTCCTGCCGAAGGCCCTTGTGATGTCACTGCCACGCCCACCTCTCCCTTGCAGGGCTGGGGTCTGCCCCTGGCCAGCCTGTTTGAGTGTCTCAGCTGCTCCCCCAGATCACCCCACTCGCTCACGATTGATTGTAGGGAACAAGCGGGCGAAACAGTAAAACCGCAGGATCTGCTCCTGCTCCTGCACACTTCATATAGTCCTAGATTTTTAGGCCTGACGTGGCCACCATTTGATCTGCTAATCTGCCCTGTATTTCACCCACTTACCCCCATATTAAGCCCAGTCGCTCGTGTTTCACTGAAACACGCCTTCCAGACAGACATCCCGTTGCGATGTGAGGACATCAGGAAACACAGAATCCACCATTTCCCTTGGTAATTTGTTCCAGTGGTTAATCACTGTCACTGTTAAAAATTGGTGTCTTGCTTCTAATTTTAATGTCTCTGGCTTCAGCTGACAGCTGCTCGTTCTTGTTCTGCCTTTCACAGCGAGATTAAAGAGCACTTTAGGACTTGTTATTTTCTCTCCACGCAGATACGTCTCCACCGTAATCAAATTACCTCTCAAGCTTCTTCCACAGCGAAATGAGATTGAGCCCCTGAAATATCTCACTTTAAGCCACATTCTCGAGCTCTCAGTTGATTTTTATGGCTCTTTTATGCCCCTCCCCTCCAATTTTTCACCGTCCTTTTTAAAACACAGACCCCAGAACTGTACAGAGTATTCCAGTCGCAGTCTCACCGGTGCTACGGGGACCCAGAGACGCAGCAGCTACTGGTGGCTGCTGTGTACTCATCCGGGGGGAGATACTGGCTAGAGGGCCCATGGTGGGTCGGGGATGGGGAGTGGGGACACTGGACTGGGCGGGCCCATTAAGTAGACTGATGGGTACAGAGGGAGGCTCTGGATTTAGGTCCTCGGGCAGTTTCGGGCGTAGCTCCCAGGAATCTCTGGGCTCTCGGAGCAGTTCCTCTGGCTGGGTTTTCTCCCAGGGGCCCTGTCTCTGTGCGGCGAGGAAGGGTCACAGTAACTGTGCCAGGGTCTGTCTCCTGGCCTGTCTCCTTCTCACTGCAGTGCTCAGCTACCCCAAACCCTCCATCTCCCTGCACACCAGTTGGGGGGGTCGCCCTGGGGGGATTCGTTACCGTCCGGTCTTGGGGTCGGCACCAGAACATGAGGTTCCTTCTGTATGACGTTGGAAACCCGAACGCGCTAGAGGACATGGACCCCGCGCGGGGACATGGCTGAGTTTCCCCTTTTGCAGCGTGAGCCGGAGAGACGCAAGAAGTTACAGCTGCGGATATTGCACCAAATCAGACCCGCCCGTCTGGTCAGAGCCCAGCGACCCCGAGGAGCTGGTGGTACCAGGTGAGGGGCCCGACTCGGTGTCCCTGCTCCCAGCCCCACCCCCAGCCAGACACTCAGGGGAGCTTGGCGCTCAGAGCCAGGCTCTGCCCTGAGCCCTGGGCCCAGCAGAGGGGATGCTTGGCTGGGGAGCGGGGACGGGGTCACTGGGTGGTTCCCAGCTTGGATAAGGAGCAGCTGCTGGAGATTCGGGGCTGAGGGAGGGGGGATTCCTCGAAAAGAGCCACAAAACAGCTGAGGTGCGGAGGACCCCAAGGATTCCTGGGCAGCTGAAGTAGGGTGAGAAAGAAAACAGATGAGACAGCAGGCAGCAGCTCCCCGCAGCCCGGAGCGCTCCTGGGGGAAAGGGCTGGTAGAGTTTGGAGGGAGGCTGCCCAGCGCCTGGAGAGAGACACCAGCAGCCAGCGCGGGAGCAACCGGCACCAGAAATGAAGGGACCCAGAGAGTGGGGAGCCAGTGGATAGGGACCCTGGTTGCTGAGCTGTGTCATCAGAGGGCGCCGGGCACAGAGCGGGGTGGGGGCCTTTTCTCACCGAGTCAGTGTGTAAGCAGGGTGTCACGGAGTCCCTGGGCGATGCTCTGGAACTGCTCCCCATGAAGCCAGTCAGGACTCTGGGGCAGTCGCCTTTCTGTGAGCAGCCTGTCTTCAGGACACACAGCTCCCCCGGCTCCACCTTCCTGGGTCTGACCTCGGAGCATTCAGCCTCCTCTGCCCCTCCGTGCGCTTCCCACAGCGAGTCCGCTCAGGCAGGGCTCCTAGGGAAGCCAGAGGGTCCTGCACCCCAACTTCGCAGTCAGACGTGACTCTCAGCCAGCCAGTAAAACAGAAGGTTTATTAGACGACAGGAACATGGTCTAACACAGAGCTTGTAGGTGCAGAGAACAGGACCCCTCAGCTGGGTCCATTCTGGGGGGCAGTGAGCCAGACAACCACGTCTGCCCTTCACTCCATGTCCCAGCCAGCCCCAAACTGAAACTCCCTCCAGCCCCTCCTCCTCTGGGCTTTGTCCCTTTCCCGGGCCAGGAGGGCACCTGATTCCTTTGTTCTCCAACCCTTCAGCTCTCACCTTGCAGGGGGGGGAAGGGCCCAGGCCATCAGTTGCCAGGAAACAGGGTGTCGGCCATTCTCTGTGTCCAGACTCCTGCACACACATGCCCTCTAGGGCTCTGCAATGATCATACACCCTTACTCCACCCCCTAGATACTTAAGAACTGCCTGGGGGAAACTGAGGCACCCCCACACTATTCAGAGGAAACATTAAGAACAGTCCCACTTCGTCACATCTCTCCCCCCTTCGAGATCGAACTGAGCGGGGTCACTTTAGCCGGTGACCTGGGGAAGTTCGAAGCCACCAACGTTCCCATGGATGCCCCAGCATCTCTCCCATTCCTTGGTAGGAGTTACACCAGGCCCTTCCAGTTTCACGCCCTCCCTTAGGTCATGGGTGGTCGATAGCACTCGCAGGCCGCATGTGGGAAGGTTTATGCAGCCCATGCCCTTTGGCCACCCCAAGAATGTCTTCCCATTGACCATCACCTTCTGCTCCCACTGGAGGTCCGGGGGGCCTGGCCCCAGGAAACTCCACACAGACATATAGGTTGGGGTCAGGAGTGGGAGCCTGTCCACATCCCCACCCATCTGGCTGACGGAGTCTATGGCCTTGGGACCCAGCAAGGGAGCTAGACACCGGGGCTTTTCCGCAGGGTCCCCTTGGTTCAAATCGCCAGCCTGCTCAAAGGCAGTGAGGTGGGCATCCACACCCTCCCCCTCCTTAACCAGGGGCAGCAATTTAGTCTTGAGGTTCCCTGCGGAACTGGCCCCCCGGGATCTATCCCCACTCACCCCGGGGAGGTCCCCTAGGCCTCTCCGCCCCACCACCGCCAGTTCATGCTGCTGCTGCTTCTGCAGCTCTTTCTCGGGCTCTCGCTGTCTCCCACGGTCCTCTTGCTCTCTCGGACTCAGCTCCAATCCCGTCCGTCTCGATCCCCCGATGGGGAACCCGATCGTGAAGACCCTCGTCTGGTCGGGGACAGGAGTCTTGGCGATGCCTGGCTCCCGCTCCAGCTGCTCCCAGATCCTGCTATAGCCCCAGTTGGGGTCAGGAATCTGTCCCTTAGAGCGGTCATCCTCCTCCAGCTGCACGATTAACTCTGCTTTGGTGAACTTTCCAACGCTCAACCCTCTCTTTTTGCACAGGGTTACAATGTCCTTCTTAAGGAGACGGTGACAGGCCATCACTCCGCTCCTCCCAAGTTGTTGTGGACTCACAGGCCCGTGTGTTCTCAGCTCCCCACGGTTTCCAGGGAGAACCCCTAGTGTGCCAGCCCTTCTCGAGGTCACCACCTCTTTGCCAGGGTCGAGCTGCAGACTCCTCCGCCCCTTGGACTGCTCGCTGCAATCCCCAGGGGAACCCCATTACTGCACAGTCCTTCTCGCTGGTCACACACTCCCAGGGGTTAACCGCCCCCCGAAACCGCTCCTCTCTGAGCCTTCAGCAGGCCTGGTCCTCGGCAATCCCCCTTCGTGTTACTGCTCCCCAGTCACTTACTGCAGGAAGCACCATCCACGGGGTGCAGTACATCCCACCGCTGCCACCAGTTGTCACGGAGTGCCTGGGTGATGCTCTGGAACTGCTCCCCATGAAGCCAGTCAGGACTCTGGGGCAGTCGCCTTTCTGTGAGCAGCCTGTCTTCAGGACACACAGCTCACACAGCTTCCACCTTCCTGGGTCTGACCTCGGAGCATTCAGCATCCTCTGCCCCTCCGTGCGCTTCCCACAGCGAGTCCGCTCAGGCGGGGCTCCTGGGGAAGCCAGAGGGTCCTGCACCCCAACTTCGCAGTCAGACGTGACTCTCAGCCAGCCAGTAAAACAGAAGGTTTATTAGACGACAGGAACATGGTCTAACACAGAGCTTGCAGGTGCAGAGAACGGGACCCCTCAGCTGGGTCCATTCTGGGGGGCAGTGAGCCAGACAACCACGTCTGCCCTTCACTCCATGTCCCAGCCAGCCCCAAACTGAAACTCCCTCCAGCCCCTCCTCCTCTGGGCTTTGTCCCTTTCCCGGGCCAGGAGGGCACCTGATTCCTTTGTTCTCCAACCCTTCAGCTCTCACCTTGCAGGGGGGGAAGGGCCCAGGCCATCAGTTGCCAGGAAACAGGGTGTCGGCCATTCTCTGTGTCCAGACTCCTGCACACACATGCCCTCTAGGGCTCTGCAATGATCATACACCCTTACTCCACCCCCTAGATACTTAAGAACTGCCTGGGGGAAACTGAGGCACCCCCACACTATTCAGAGGAAACATTAAGAACAGTCCCACTTCGTCACACAGGGGAATGGCCCCGCTATTGCGGGGAACTTTCCTGGCTTAAACCCACCCCGGTGGGATTGGCTGGCGAAAGGATCTGAGTCCTCGCTCCCATTCCCTTTACCCAGGGGCCTGCCTGACCTCCAGGGCTTCCCTTCCTCCCTCCCGTGCGGCAGAGTCCTCGTAACCCCGACAAGGCTGGGCCCTGGATCCCTGGGAGCTCGTCCCCCAGTCTTCTCGTGGTCACTTAGGACAGGGGTCAGGGTGTCCCCACTCCGAGGCACTGTCTTTGCACCGGATGCTTCCCTGACCCACTGATCATTACGTAGAGTTCAGAGCACGTACAATTTATCAAACCCAACTCATAAAAAATAAGTCAAAATGGGGAAGGTGAAAGGAAACAAGTCACCCCGCCCTGTGGGCATAGGCGGCGAGTTATATGGGCTCGTGGAGCCCTGGCACCAGGAATATTCAGAGCCGGGGGCCCTGCTCCAGCAATATTTGGAGCTGGGTCTCTCCCCCCGGCTCTCCCCGGAGCGTCCCTGCGGCTGGGGCTTTGGTGAGTGTTTGATCCTGTGATCTGACCGCGCCTCCCGCAGCCACCACTCCTGCCCCACACTGGGCAAGGGGCAGCCCCATCCCGCACCCCCAGTGAGGGTGACGGGCAGCAGGCTGCAGCAGGGGAGGAAGGAAGCCACATGTGATGGCAGTCCCCTCCCCCCTCCAGCACCCACCCACCCACTGCAGGGGAGACGGGATGCGGGGGAGGGGGGGGGGGCAGATTCCTGAACCTGAGCAGCTGGGGCTTGGGTGACTTTTGTGACACCCTGCTCTCCCCCCGCCCCACCCCCGCAGCCACCCCACACTGGGCAAGGGGCATCCCCATCCCCCACCCCCAGTGAGGCTATGGTCAGGGGCAGCAGCATGGGAGGCCACACATGATGGCAGCCCCCCCACACCCTCAGTACCCACCATAGGGGAGGCGAGGGGGCTTCCTGGACCTGAGTGCGGCTCTAGGAGCATGTGCAGAGTGAGTGTGCTGTGGGGGGGGGGAAGAGGAGGGGTCCCACGGGGTGGTGGTGGGGGGGAGACTCTTCTCTGACCCTAGCCCTGGGGCAGCCTGTCTGCACCCCAAGCTCCTCATCCCCGGCCCTGCCCCACCCCAGAACCTGGACCCCCAGCACCCCAACCCTGAGTCCCAGCCCTGAGCCCCCTCCTCAGTGTGAACCCCTCATCCCCAGCCCCACCCCACAGCCCTAACCTGAGGGGAAAAACACGCAACTTAAATTTGTCAATCAGTTAGGGTATGATCGTGTTTAGCACAATACTTGATTATTTTACACCCTTTAAAGTATCTAATTGGTTGTATACAGGTGTGATGAAGTGGGACTGTTCTTAATGTTTTCTCTGAATACTGTGTGGGTGCCTCAGTTTCCCCTAGGCAGTTCTTAAGGATCTAGGTGGGGGGATAAGGGGGTGTGATTGTTGCAGAGCCCTAGAGGGCAGGGGTGATGCTGTCTACGGCGAGAATGGCCGACACCCCATCTCCTGGCCACTGATGGCCTGGGCCCCACCCCTGCAAGGTGCCAACTGAAGGTGTTGGAGAAGAAAGGGATCAGGTGGCCTCCTTGCCCAGGAAAGACACAAAGGTCAGAGGAGGGGCCGGAGGCAGTGTCACTTTGGGGCTGGCTGGGGAAACGGGGAGAGGCCCAGAACTTGGAACACCCCCAAGTTGGAATTGACTGAGGGGTCCTGTTTGCTGTACCTACAACAAGCTCTGTTTTAGACTCTGTTTCTTCTGTTTTCCCGGCTGGCTGAGAGTCACGTCTGACGGCAGAGTTGGGGGGCAGGACCCTCTGGCTTCCCCAGGACCCTGCCCGGGCGGACTCGCTGCCGGAGGTGCACCATGTGGCAGATAGCATCACGCTGGCTCTTTAGGGCTCTACAACAATCACACCCCCTTATCCCACCACCTAGATCTTTAAGACATGCATAGGGGAAACTGAGGCACTCACCCAGTGTTCAGAGGAAACATTAAGAACAGTCCCGCTTTGTCACAACAGGTACAAGAAACTATAATATATTGAAGCTGCTTCTGACTTCCCACTTTTAACTGACCCTTGAAATTTTGAGACGCCGGCACACTGTAGCTTCATTTTATCCCAGCAACAAATTCTTGATCTGTAGGACCACGACCAATCAAAGGGAGTTCACAGTCTATTGCTCACAGCTCGGCCGTGCTGCAGGGACGCTGTGGGTCGGACACTTGCCCTGGCTGCAGGTGGCAGGACCCTTCTTCGCAGCATCGGCCCCCTGCCGGGGTTGCAGTCCCCCTCCCAGTCTGGCCTGCAGGGCCTCTTGGCTGGTGGCATCTCCCTGCGCTGGGACCTCTGCCCAGGGCCCCTCTCGCTCCGCCCAGCTGCTCACAGCACCTGGCTCCAGATGGCTCCAGCCCTAGCCCCAGCCCCAGACGCAGCACCAGTCTGCCTCCAGCCCAGTCCCCTGCTCCCCTAGCCCCTTTGGCCCTGGCTGCTGTAGCCACTAGCCCACCAATGCTCTATATACTGCCCTGAGCTAGGCTGACACTCCCTGGATGGCCGTGTGGCCTAGTGGGGAGAGCGCTGGGGCCAGGACTCAGGAGAGCTGGCTGCCATTCCTGGTGTTGCCGTGATTTTCTGGGGGACCGTGGCTGAGTCCCTGCCCCACTCTTTGCCTCAGTTTCCCCCTCTGTAAAATGGGGCTGATGCCCCGCCCCCCTCTGTGAAGCGCTGTGAGATCTGCGGGTGCGAAGCGCTGGGGAGGAGCCGGGTGTTGTTGTACCAGACACAATCTGGCCCTGCCCGGTGCCCCCAACCCGAGAGTGGCGGGTTCCCAGCGCCTGCCAGAGACGCAGCAGCTGCTGGCGGCTGCTGGGTACGAGACAGCGGCTGTGAGGGCCTGTGGGTCTGATCCGCTAGCGTCTCTGGGGCCAGCGGGGAGACGCCCAAACCCAGGGGATTTTCCGGCTAGAGACTCACTCCAGGGAACAGGGCCGGGGCGGGAACAAACCCCTCGTTTCACACGGCGCCTGCCACGGCTCCCTGGTTCCTGCTCTGCTGGGTCTGTCACAGCCGGTCCCAGGGGTCACTGGGGGGTTTGCCGTGGGGCTGAGCAGGCTGCGGGCTCTGGACCCCGCCCCCGGCCCATGTTTAACCCTGTCCCATGTGGGGCAAGGGCTGGGGAGTTTGAGGGAAGTAGGTTGAGGGTGTCAGGAAAGGGGCTGAGGGGACGGGGTTGGGATGGGGGACAGGAGTTTGAGGGCAGACAGACTCCCCCCGCAAAGGTCACAGCCAGGGGGCAGGACTGCTTGGCGGTGTGTGTGTGTGTGGGGGGGGCAGACGATGCCCTGAGGAGGGAGCTGCCATTTCCACCCCTCGGCAGCTTCCCCTCTCACTGCCCACTCTCCTACTCCTGCCCCTTCAGTCCTGGCTCCCCCACTTTTCTCCCCATCAGCCTCCTGTCCCCTCAATGCCCCACACCCTCCTCTGCCACACATTCCCTGAGGGAGGTCGGGGGGTATGAGCGGATAGGGGATGGGGTGGCAGAATAGGGGAGGGAATGGGGGCATGAGGGGACATGGGACAGAATTGGGGGGAAAGGAACCTGATGGGGGGACTACAGAAAGGGGGAGGGGAGATAGGCCAGGGGGCAGAAGGGGGGGCAGGAACATGGGGGGACATTGGATGGGAGTTGGGGACGTGTATGGGGAAGCAGACATAGGCCATGGGTTAGAACGGGGGGGATGCGGACGAGGGGACATGGGACGGGGGGTGGTGTTAGGGGGAAGTGAATGGGGGAGAGGACGCAGGCCAGGGGGCTGAGGGGCCCAGTGCGTGAATGTCAGGGGTGGGGGTGAAGGGCAAAGGAGCTGGGGAGCCAGAGCTGGGGCATCTGCCGTGGGGAGGGTGGCAGTTTCTCTTGAACTCTGTCCCCATGTTCTTGCCCCCTTCCTTTTCTGGGGGGCTGGTCAGCTTCCCCCCCCCCCAATGTCTCTTTTGCAGCATCCTGAGGGGGGAGTGGGAAACTTGGCTCAGCCGTCAGCCCCTGTGAGCTCTGCCCCGGGCCCTGAGCTGCGCAGACCCACTGCCCCGGGGATGGGCTGGGGAAGGGACACGGGGCCTTTCACCGCTAGGGGGCTGCCTCTAATCTGTGTCCTTTTCTCTAAGCACCAGATCCCACCCCCCAACCAGAGCCAGGGAGAGAACCCAGGAGTCCTGCCTCCCAGCCACTCCCTCCCCCCAATCACTAGACCCCCAGTCCCCTCCCAGAGCCAGGGTATATAAACAGGGCAGGTGCCGGGCATCAGGTTTACGCAGAATTTCACTGTCAGTAGCAGAAATGCCAAGTGAACGCCACATCGGGGCAGACTTCCCCTTTCGCGGATTTATCGGCGGCTCCTTTAACAATTCAGGATCTACATTTCTCTCTCCCTCTCCTGCTCACGGGGAACAGAAACCACAACCCCCACCCCCCTGTCCCATCTCTGTGCCGCATTGCTCGCCTGAGAATAGCGCCGGTCGCTGTTACGCTGATGTAGTCGTCGGATTTGTTGTTTGTATTTTACGTAACCCTTCTGCCCGTCAGAGCTGGCAGCAACAAGGGCTGGGTTCAGTATCTAGGGGATCCATTCCAGTAACACAATGCAAAACCGGCTCGAGCCCCCACCCAGTGACCTGGGACAAATATATACCACCCCCACTGGGCGCCTCCAAGAGGCAATCCTTCCCCTCTCGCAAGCACATAGTCTGAGTGTAGCAAAAAGCCTT